GGGGGGGGGGGTGGCAACCTAAAATTTCCGAATGAATTTCCGAATTACGCAATAATTTTAATATTCACGAAATTTTACCACCTGTCGTTAAACGACAGAAACAACAAGATTAGAAGGATACATTTTTTTTCACCAATGAAATCACGGTAGTGTTCATAGTGTAAGTAATAAGTCCCAGTCAGTAATAAAATGACCTATGAATAAAAGTATGTATTTATTTTCAACTTTTTTATCCAACCGCAATCCACTCATGTCATGTATCGCGGGCTCGCACCTTTTTCGAAAAAAGTTGTAAGAATGTATTAAAACTATAATCGATTTAAGTTCTGTTGTCATTTTAGCATAGCTTTTAAAATATTTCGAGTATTTTTCGATAGTTTTAAAGTTTGGTGATGTTTAATTTGACTTTCTTGCCAACCATAGGAATAAATATAACTAATTAATTAGTTCTTTTGAGTTTTTAAATTGATTGCAATTTTCCTGATTACCTTTTCAATTTAAAAACTTCCCATGCAATTTTACTAAAAGTCGATTAAATTTTCAATGATCATGAATTTGCAAAGAGTTTTTCAAACTTGAAAAGCTAAGGGACCGGTCATAAAATATAGGCGATGGTGGGTGTAATGATATACTTCCGGTTTGAGACCCCCCATGGGGCCTCGTGTTGTTGTTGTACTTATCTTGTAAGAATACAAAGCTCGAAGACTATTACATGGTGTCAGGAGTGGGATTTTTACTGAATATCGACCGTATAAGCTACAGTCATGGCTCTTAGCGGTATTGAACTTCCTGTGATGCAATGGGACGGCGAAAATCTCAAGGAAAATTGGCGACGTTTTAAACAACATGTCGAATTAATGTTCTCTGGACCGCTGAGATCAAAAAACGAAGCGGAGAAATGCAGCTACCTACTCATCTGGGTAGGGCAAAAAGGCAGGGATATATACAACACATGGTCGGATATCTCAGAAACAAACAGAGGTAAATTAAAAACATATTATGATCGATTCGAAAAGCATGTCAATCCGAAAGCAAACCCCGTCTTTGCCAGATATAAGTTTCATAACAAAATACAAGGCCCCACCGAGCCAGTAGAGGAATTCACAACAGAGTTACAACTCCTAGCCCAAGATTGTGAGTTCCACGACCAAAATGAAATGGTTAGAGACCGAATTGTGTTTGGGACAAATTCAAACAAAGTGAGGGAAAAACTTATAATGGAAGGGGCAGAACTCACGCTAGAAAAAGCTATACAAATCGCAAGAACCTATGAAAAAACCCAAGCCCAACTCAAAAGCATGTCTCCTGAAAACAAGGAAGAAAGCATTCACTTAGTCAGACAGCAAAACCAAGGCAGTCAATCTCAAAGATCGAGACAATCACTTGACCAAAAGTACCCCCAGCAATCACTTGAACAAAAGTACCCCCAGCAAATAAGCCAGTGTGGGAACTGTGGGAGAAAACACTACAGATCAGAGAAATGTCCAGCAAAAGGGCAAACCTGTTACCTATGCAACAAGCCCAACCATTTTGCACAAGTATGTCGATCAAAAGGGAGGCGGAGCCAAATACACCCTATCGAGAAGGTAGAATGTGACCCCTCAATGACCCAATTTGAAACTCTAACTTTTGAATCAATCACTGTAGCTAATGTTAACCACCAAAATTTGAAGGCAGACGAAGTGTTTGCAGAGGTGGGCATCCACCTAAATCCAAAGCCCAAAGCAACAGTCAAGGCTTCCCTACAAACACACGCAAAGGCATCACTGAAAGCCAAAGTCGATACTGGTGCCCAAGGGAATATACTCCCCCTAAGATTATACCGGGCTATGTACCCCTGCAAAATTGATCTGAAGGGCAACCCCAAGAAAGGAGCTACAAAACATTCTAATACTATCCTCACAGCATATGGGGGATCCAAGTTACACCACCATGGCACCGTCACCATTGATTGCGAATTCAAAGGCAAAAGATCTGCTGCACAGTTCTATGTCACAGACACACAAGGCCCTGCTATCATTGGCCTACCAACGTTGATTGACCTCAACCTTGTGAAATTCAATTGTGCCATACTCAAACAAGTGTTACACAGCAACACACTATGGCCCACCACAAGAACCCCTGAGCAACCACCACTAACCACCAGAACCCCCGAACGACCACCAATACCCAAACCAATAAAGAGCAAAGAAGATTTGATAGATCAATACCCAAACTGTTTTAATGGCATAGGAAAATTCGAAGGAGAATACCACATAACCACCGACCCATCAGTCCCACCTGTTATCCACCCTCCGCGACGAGTTCCAATCAGTCTGAAAGATGACATTAAGAAAGAACTAGACGAGATGGTTGCAAATGGTATCATAACTAAAATAAACGAAGGAGAGCCCACAAGATGGGTAAACAGTCTTGTCTACAAGAGGAAACAGAATGGACGATTGCGTTTATGCCTAGACCCCAAAGACCTAAATACAGCTATCTTAAGAGA